ATCTCATTAAAATACCGACCTCATTACTTTCAAGACTTAGAAAAATAGTTCTTCACTTTGTATGGAACCAGAACAAACCCCGTGAGGCTAAGGCAATTCTTAGTAATAAAAACAAAGCCAGGGATATCAGCATACCAGACTTTAGGCTATACTATAAGGACATAGTGATCAAAACAGCATGGTATTGGCACAAAAATAGAGACAGAGACATTTAGAACCGAATAGCAAATCAGGAGATGAAACAAACATCTTACAACCACCTAATCTTTGATAAACCAAATAATCATACACTGGGGGAAAGAATCCCTATTCAATAAATGGTGTTGGGAGAACAGGACATCCACATGTAAAAGACTGAAACTGGACCCGCACCTTTCTCCACTCACAAAAATCGATCCAAGATGGATAAAAGACCTTAATCTAAGGCATGAAACCATAAAAATCCTCAAAGAAAGTGTGGGGAAAACACTGGAAGCTGTCAGCCTGGGTAAGGACTTTATGAGGAAGACTTCTGTGGCAATCCCAACAACAAAAATAAACAAATGGGACTAAATGAAACCGAAAAGCTTCTGTACAGCTAAGGCAACAAAAACCAAAGCAAACAATCTACACACTGGGAAAGGATATTTGCATATTTTGATTTAAACAAAAGCTTGATAACTAGGATCTACAGAGAATTCAAATTAATAAACATAAAGAGTCAACAATCCCGGTGCCTGTGGCTCAAGCGGCTAAGGCGCCAGCCACATATACCTAAGGTGGCGGGTTTGAATCCCCAGCCCGGCCCACCAAACAACAATGATGGCTGCAACCAAAAAACAGCCAAGTGTTGTGGCAGGCGCCTGTAGTCCCAGCTACTTGGGAGGCTGAGGCAGGAGACTCGCTTGAGCCCTGGAGTTGGAGGTTGCTGTGAGCGTGATGCCATGGCACTCCACCCAGGGGGATAGCTGGAGGCTCCGTCTAAAAAAAAAAAAAAAAAGAGTCAACAATCCCTTAGATCACTGGGCAAGAGATAGAACCTTCTCTAAAGAAGACAGACAAATGACTAACAAACATGAAAAAATGCTCATTATCTCTAATTGCTAGAGAAATGCAAATCAAAACCACCCTGAGATACCATCTAACCCCAGTGAGAATGACCTTCATCACAAAGTCTCAAAACTGCAGATGCTGGTGTCGATGTGGAGAGAAGGGAACACTTTTACACTGCTGGTGGGACTGGAAACTAATACAACCTTTTTGGAAGGCAGTATGGAGAACCCTCAAAGAACTCAAGCTAGACCTCCTGTTTGATCCTGCAATCCCACTGCTGGGCATCTACCCAGAAGAAAAAAAATCCTTTTACCACAGGGACACTTGCACTAGAATGTTTACTGCAGCTCAATTTACAATTGCCAAAATGTGGAAACAGCCTAAATGCCTACCAACCCAGGAATGGATTAACAAACTGTGGTATATGTATACCATGGAATACTATTCAGCCACTAAAAAAGATGGAGACTTTATATCCTTTGTATTAACCTGGATGGAGGAGGAACACATTATTTCTAGTAAAGCATCCTACACAGTAGGGGGTGGTGGATGGGGAGAGGTGAGAAAGGGAAAGAGGGAGCGGGTGGGGGGATAAGGGGTGTGGCACACCTTTGGGGCAGGACACAATTATAAGAGGGCCCTTATCTAACAAAGGAAATCAACGTAACCTGGTTCTGTGTACCCTCGATGAGACCCCAACAATAAAAAGGGTGCACAGTGCCATACCATAGAAAAGGGAGGCAAGCACAAGACAGAGCCAAATCTCCATTGGTCTCTTTGGGCAGATGACAGGTCAGGCTGCTGGATTCTCTTATACAAAAAACAACACAGCCATCACCTGCAGAGAGGATACATTAATGGAATACTCAGAGAATCCCAAGACATACATCTTTGGAACAAAAATGATCTTCACTGGATTAAGAAGGCAGAAGGTGAATTTGAAAGCTTATCTCAAAAAGTTACTAATGAGTAATAATTGGCCACAGCCTTACTTACTACAAAACTGAAATGTCTTATGACTTTTTTTTATGTGTACCATAATTTAATTGGTATCACACCAAAATTCAGATCATGAATGAGTGACAGAATATTTTTGTTGGGACAGTCCTAAGATTGGCCTGTGGTTAAATAATATGACTGGTTTTTTGAGACAGAGTCTTAGTATGTTGCCCTCGGTAGAGTGCGGTGGTATCACAGCTCACAGCAACCTCAAACTCTCAGCTTAAGCAATTCTATTGCCTCAGACTCCCAAGTAGCTGGGACTACAGGCACCTGCCACAGTGCCCAGCTATTTTTGTTGTTGTGGCAGTTGTCATTGTTGTTTAGCTGGCCCGGGCCAGGTTCAAACCCACAAACCTCTGTGCATGTGGCTGGTGCTGAAACCACTGTGCTACAGGTGCCAAGCCTGCTTTTTTAAAATTTTGATAGCGATTCCAATTCAGTAAATGCAGTCACTGTTTTCCCCTTCTAAAGATATGAATGGATTTAATTAGTAATGTTCAACTTGTTACAAAGATGGTAAATTGCTATCTTACCACCTACTGAAAATCAGTTTACATTTAGATTTATATAACTGGGCCGGAGTTGAAGGCTCACACCTGTAATCCTACCACTCAGAGAGGCTGAGGTGGGTAGATTCCCTGAGCTCAGGAGTTCAAGACCAGCCTGAGCAAGAGTAAGACCCCCATCTCTACTAAAAATAGAAAAAAAACAGCCAGGCATTATGGCGAGTACCTGTAGTCCCAGCTACTTAGGAGGCTGAGGCAGGAGGATTGCTAGAGCCCAGGAGTTTGAGATTGCTGAGAGCTATGATGGCACTCTATCCAGGGCAAGTAAGACATTATCTCAAACAAACAAAAACAACAGATTTATATAACCAGTTAAGTGACTATATTTAAATAGTAGGTAAAATCCCTTCACTGTATCAGAACCAATAAAACTCACTGGTGTTTTGTGTTCATTAGCCTGTTAAAGGTGAGGCCTGGGGATAAGGTAGCAATGTTTACTGTATATTTTTGGTCTTCACTATTCCAGTCTGACTCCCTGTGTCTACCATAACGTTGCTTTTTATTTACTGAAAGGTATTTTAGTGTGGTTTATGTAGAATAGCACATAAAGAATATTTAAAACTTAAAAAAAAAAAGTCAGTGTCCAAGACAAGCTGGATCTAAGCAAAAGAATAGGTGATCCCTGTATGATGCTAGGGTTAGTTTCAAAGACGATAATATAAAAGAGATTGAAGGTGGTGCCTGTGGCTCAAAGGAGTAGGGCACCAGCCCCAAATACCAGAGGTGGCAGGTTCAAAACCGGCCCTGGCCAAAAACTGCAAAAAAAAATTTTAAAGAGGTTGAGAGAAACACAATATTATGCTCAAATTGCCCATGTGCCATCTTGCACCATTTCAATGTGGCCAAGAACACCAACCATTTCTCTAAATCTTTGTTAACGCTTTAAAAATAATGTATTAATTACAGCCTTCCAATAAGGCTGGTCAAAAAAAGATGTACTTGTGTATGTATGGTCATAGTCTATTGTGTAACAGATTACTGAACTTGCCTATACGTATGAAATATAGTTAATTTGGATTTTTCCTCATCTATTAATTGAATGGATAAGGTGATTTCTAAATTCTCATCATGTGGGAGGCTAAAGCAGGAGGATCTCTTGAACCCAGAATTCAAGGCTATAATCAACTATGCCACTGCAATCTGGTGTAAGGAATTCGATGTAAAGAATTAACCTTACATTTTTTAACATCACTGGATTTTCCCATTATGTACTGATTTTGCAACTTAAAAGTGGATGTTTTTGAGTCCCATAGGTCAGTTCAATTTGACTGTTGAATCTTTTTTAGTTAACAAATGCTCACAAAACAGAAAACATTCTGGGTGATAGAGCAAGACCCCATCTCTAAATAAAATAAAGTCCATCCTGATCTGAATGTTAATGAGTCTTTCTCATCTTTAATCAGCACAGTATGTCAATCAATTATAAATCTTGGCTCAGCACCTATAGCTCAACCGGCTAAGGTGCCAGCCACGTACACCTAAGGTGGCGGGTTCGAATCCCCAGCCCGGACCTGCCAGACAACAATGACAGCTGCAACCAAAAAATAGCCGGGCGTTGTGGCGGGTGCCTGTGGTCCCAGCTAC